CTGTACTTAGCTTTTAAAAAAAATCTCAATGCCATAGACACTGGTATTATCCAATAAAACAGCAAGTAGATCTGTTGCTGCCATTGATTAGACCTAGTTGAGCGGAAAAGGGGGAAGCATGAGAATCATTATGTACTTAAGAAAAAATACTTTTATCTATTCGGTTATTAAATTTATTATTTTTCAATTTTTCTGCTTTTTGAATTCTGTGCTACTTGCTTTTTTTTTTTTTTTGCATTCGCTATTTGCTATTTACAATGAATGCAACTGACTATTTTTCCTCCTATTTTTCCAGACATAATTAACAGCAATGCTATTATGTTGCTGAACTTTCAAGTTGCGATGTGCAAAACTTTGTTACTTTGTTCATTGAGCTTTGTTAGCAAACAGTCAAATGCAGGAAATATATACACTGTAAGCATGATCATCAGGAAAAAGCGTCAAAACAATAGCCAAAAAAATGAAGATTGGTGTTATATTGTTCACTAAACTTGTATAGAAATAAATCTACTACTACTGCATCTTTGCTGTATTCAGTTCTATGGTTATAACTTCAAAGAATTATGCTTAACTATTGCTTCTACCTTTTCTTAGAAATGAGGAAGCAAAACCCAAATTTTCAGTTCCTATATATGGCAGAACACCCAATATAAGATTTAAAGTACAACCAATTTGAAACTCCTTTTCCATAAGCATCTTAATGGACCATCACATTTGAAATTAAAAACATTGTAGAGTTTTGTTCACACATTAATATTCACATCTGTCGATTTTGGAGGCAGTGTCCCTCACACTGCTACAAGCGAAGGAGGTAGAGTTGATGTCAGTTTACCTGTTCTGTTGAAGCCAATAAGACATTCTACTCTCTTAATGCTAACATTTGTCATAAAGGATATCTGCACTAATGTCAAAAGTAATGATTCCAAGGTCACTTCTTTCACCTGGTCCAGTGAAATCTTCTACATTTTTTCTATGTAAATAAAATAAAAGTATTATTCAATATTATTCATGTATTCCTTTCTAACATTGTCTCTTTTAGATGTAATTTATTGTTAAATAACCCTAAATAATGTGACATTTATTTGTAGGTTACAAAAATAATTTTTGCTTTTGTAAAATATCTTAAATATTTCTTATAATCAACAAGTAAGCAATCATAAATATCCCGTATAATCAACACAATTGCTGGTTAACTGGAAATCAACATTAAATTAAGGAGCTGTTTAAAAAAACTATTCAAAACATGCCAAGTAAATGTGAATTCAGTATCTGTGATAGCCAAGTATATAATTTAGTTTTCTTAGCACTTATAGTTTTTACTAATACAATTACTATACAATGAGAATCTGGACATATTTTTACATTTTTCACCCGGATGACTCACTATAAGAAAATATCATAAATGTATTTTCTCTGTATTTCTATCACTTCATTGATGTAGTACAGTTAACATGATACACTTTAACCATGTTATGTATATGAGATCTGAAATCCATAGTTCATAAGGGTGTCTATTGAAATTTTCAGAAAAGTGTATCTAAATAGGATTTATTTTGCTAGTGCAGCAAGATATTTCGAAATAACACTCATCTTACACTTTTCTAACTTCTTAGAAACTGGGATATGCTTAGCCAATAACCTGTCAATATAAACAGCAAACTGATGTTTTTAAACTGAATTGCCTTTCTGTGCATCCACTCTCAAGGGAGCTTGCCAGAAGGCAGATTACAGCACTGGAGGGTTCGTGTTGTTCATTCATTGGCTTAAAGAAAAAGGAAATGACAGAACAGGAAGGAAAGAAAGGCCACACTTCTGAAACTGACAATCTAGAGAAAAAATAGATTAAGTCCTAACTGACAGAAAATTGAGAGCTAGAGAAGTTTGCAATAAAGAGTTCCTTTAAATGTGAACTAAGCAGCTATATATTAAAGGAGTGGAATAATATGTAACAGTCAACAATCAAACAGGAGGAGATGCTGATCTCAATATTATTCTCCATCAATTCCTGTGAGACTATATAAAGGCTTTATATTAAAAGCAAGCACCAGGGCAAAGGGGTTAAACAAAGCCGGGGGGGGGGGGCGGCGTTACTTCACAATACAACTCAGCACCCGGAAACCTCAGGTCACTGTGACAGCTGGAGCAGCCGAGCATCATGGCTCCATGAAGACTTAACAAACGCCCTTAAAGAATTCGGAAAAGCAGAAATGCGCATCCGATTGTGTTTTCCCTCCATCTCCCCCTCTTCACGCCGGAACGAAGGCTGCTGGTCTCCATCTCCGGGGATAGAGAAGGGCCGCCTGTGCCTGTGCCGCTGCCCTCCCTCATTCACACACTCACAGCATGACACGGGAAACGGCGATGCTGACGGGCACGGAGCGCTCTTTGAAAGCGGTGGTGATGAAGCAGCCGAAGGTCAGCGCCGCCATCACGCTCAGCGAGAAGGCGAAGAGCGAGTTGGCTCGAGTTAGGACGGTGTTCATCTCCCCGCCGTCCCTCCAGCCCTCACGACACACACGCGTACGAGCGAACAACTGCCCGCTGCTTCTTCTTCTTGCCCTCGGCCAGGCCTCAGCTCCGGAGTAACGGAGAGGCAGGCAGGCAGGCACGCACGCTCGAGTTAGGCACGAGGAATCCGAAAAGAAAAGGCTGCCGCTGGGACCGCCGCTGTCCGCGATTGAAGAGAAAGGGAGGCCCAACGCAGCACCTTGCCTGGTAACGAACCCGCCCAACCACCCCGCGAGAGGAGGGCCCAAAGAGCACCCGTCCGCCTCAGCCCGCCCATAGGCGGAAGATCTCCTCTCGATTCCACTGCCTACAAGTCCCATGAGCCTCAGCATCCATCTTTCGCTCTAGTTCCTCCATAGAGATAGGAAAGTTAGAGCGACCGGAAGTCCGCCTGAGGCGATATGCTGCTTTTCAAGGTGAGATAAGTGACCCCGGACGCGACCTGCGCGAACGCCGAATTGAGGAAGCAAGCTATTGCCCTTGATACAGCCCCAAGTTTATTTTTGAGATGGCGTCCTACGCTGCTATCCGAATGCATGGAGTTTTTAACAGCATTCCCCGAGCCTGTAGCGGTGGTGGTGGTGGGGGAAAGCAATGTCATTTCGGAATGATTGCTAAGAAAACGAACTACTCCAACGCATTAAGTCTCATGGGAGACTATTTTTACCCTAACTCATTTGGAAGGCATTGATTGGAGAAGGCGGGGTTAGCGCTACTTTCTCTACACCGCCCGGTGAATTGCCTCTCTCTCCCTCGGAAAAGGGTGCTGCCCCGTGCAGGGTCGTGCCCCTTTGCGACGCAAAAGCCTTGTTCTTATTTATTTCTGGGATGCTACTGGGAAGACACTGGGCGCAGCTCATTGGAAATACGGGGAGGACAATAAGAATTGCATGCCTCAACCTAAAATAGCGAGGCGGAGCTTCCCCCACTCCCGGCCATGTTCTCTGCTGCAGTAACCCAGTTAACAAGCAGGCATGGGAATGGCAAGATTTCGACGGGACGCTGCTACTTATCTTTCTCAGCACAATAAAAGGCGTTTTAAAGAGAAAAGAAATCTGACTCCAACTTCGGTGTGGAGAGTTCGATTGCAAGCTTATTAAATAATGAAACTTTATATTCCTTTTAAAAATATATTTTTCAGTACTGTAATGCATTAATACTGTAGTGCTCATGGTGTCAAAAGTAACTATGGAAATCGAGTATGGAGGCAAATAGATTTCCAGGAACCGGTGGTGCTACCTTTCTGCTTGCCAAAGTAAGTGTTAGATGTAATCCTAAATACTTTCGGGGGAGAAAAAGTCTCCATGAGCTGAAAGATTGGGGGGGGGGGTTGTCTCACAAATATAAAGCACAGTTATAATAGCAATAGCACTGAGACTTATGTACTGCTTTACAGTGCTTTACAGCCCTCTCTAAGCAGTTTTACAGAGTCAACATATTACCCCCAACAATTTGAGTCCTCATTTTACCCACCTGGGAAGGATGGAAGACTGAGTCAACCTTGAACCTGGTGAGATTTGAACTGCCAAATGCAGGCAGCCGCCAGTCAACAAAAGTAGCTTGCAGTACTGCAGTCTAACCATTGTGCCACTGTGGCTCATATAAAATAGATTTTGTATTTTACTCTAATTTTTCTCAAGCTTTCATATGCTGCCAATCCCACTAAACTAGTTTAGGAGTTACCCAGAAAATCTGGAAGACATTGCAGTGATGAAATGTGAGACATTGATGAATTAATATAGAGTAAACATTTTAGCGAAACAACTCCAAATAAACACCAGATGGTAGCAAAGAAGTGCAGAAAACTATTAATTGTCATCTCCTGTTGATCTGGAAATTACAGCTCAGATTGTCTTTAACATACCTAAAGTTTTTCCAACAAAGACACAGTACTTTGGCTTCTTATTTATATATTAAAGCAGTAGTTCTTAGCTATAGATTTTGAAAATCTGACTGATTACATATTGACCAAGCTACTGGAAAATCTGTTTCAATAACATCTCAAAGGACTTGTCTTTTACTTAGAAGACAAATGGAGCCAGAATACAGAACAAACATACACATGCACACTGATAATAGCTAGTAGACCAGAGTACAGAGGAGGAAGTACAACTGAAGTCCACTAAAAAAGAAAATAGTCCAACATTTTTTACATGCAGGGAGGAACCTAATGCTAGGGGGGAGGGGGGAAAGAGCTCTCACAAAATTCCATGTGGCATGATACACCAGTGAACAATTTCTTTGCTACCCAGCCAGCGACAGACGGAAACTGAGTGGAACAATAGACATAAGATATTGATGACAGCTGACTTGTACATTCTTAGGGCTATAGTCACAACATATCTGGGTGTGTGATTCTGCAACAAATTATGTTTGTGAGGTAATTCTTCAAGAAAAAAAGTGCTCCTCCTTCGTTAGCAGTGGAGTGTCCAAGAACACAATAGTGCCTTTTCTGTATCTGTAAGGAATAGTTAGATCCAATCTTTCAAAAAGATTTTTCCAAAGTTTACTGGAAGAGGGATGAACATTAGAATATCTTTAGAGAAAACATATCCATAGAGTTTCAAAAGAAATGGTTGGCTAATTCTCCTTGTGGTATTTCAGTTAGTTTTCTTCTTGGAGCAATTTCCTCTTTATTCTGGTGAATATTAATTATCTTGCTTTCCACTACAGTCTTAGCGTGAGACAATTTTGCTTTTGTCCTTAACGTATTCTCCCATCTTTCAGCTGCTTCTTTCCCACCCTGAAATTTGCAGAAAAGTCCAAAATAGAATTAGTGTCATGCTTTTTAAAAAAAGGGTAGTTAAGAGTCTAAATTTATTTCTTCTGTGACCTTCATCTAATTAAAAGCCTGTTTCCTTCACCACATACAGGTAGTCCTCAACATGTGACTACAATTGAGCCCAACATTTCTTTTGCTAAGCAAGACATTTGTTAATTTGAGTTTTGTCCCATTTGATGACCTTTCTTGTTACAATTGTTAAGTGAATCACTATAGTTGTTTAATAACATGGTTATTAAGTGAATCTGGCTTATCTGACAGATAAGTCACCTATCATTTTAATCTGATATTGCTGGAATGCTTGGCAACTAGTGCTCCAAGACAGAATTATGCAAACAGATGTCAAATAAAGGACAACTTGGGATAAAAGGGAATGAAATCATAAAGACATTGGAACTATCATTTACCCCTCAACTACTGAAGTGGATTTCCATTAAAACAAGTTTCCTGCCTCAAGAAAGCTGTATATTATGCAAATACTCTATAATTTCTCTTTATATTGTATATAAGGATTATCAGAGTTAACATGCCTATTTTAATCTTGATCATATAAACCAACAGTACTTCCTTCCTTTTAACAATCTTGAACTTTAATCTCTCAAATATTGTTCTAGAATTTATTTATTTTCATTTTATTCTTTGTCTTCCCACAAAATGCTTCAATGCTTTAGCAAGACTTTCGTAAATCCAATATAGGAGAATTAGCCAGGTCACTCTTTTGGTTTGTTATTTATAAATCTATTTCAATTATTAAGTTACCAGCAAATTTCGTTTGTATATCCATTGTAACATCTTTCTGGGTCTATGACAATTCACTTGCCATGGCCAAGTCGCTGCGGGACAAGAGTTACACTAATATCAAAGAAATGGTGGAATAGAATCATTTAAAAAAAAGATGCAAAAGGAAGGACAGAATGAAATGTGAATGGAAAAAATTAAAATGTTTTATTTTAAATAATTAAATAGAATTGTTAAATTGTCCCTCAGCAAGTTGCCCCATGGCAAAATACCCATGGTGAGTTGGCTGCGGAGAGTTGGCCATGGCAAGTTAGCCACAGCAAATTGGCTGGGGCAAGTTGTCCCATTCCGTCTTTTTCTGTATCATCCTCGTACCTGTCACTTTTACATCTGCTTTCAGATCAGTTTCAGTCTTGTCCAATAAAACATGTTCCTTTTCCATAATATCTTTTCATTATGTATAGTGGCAGACATTTTTAACATTAACAAATGGGTCCATTTTCACAAATATCCCCTAATACATCTGATCTACTCCATTCTATATTAGTAAGTAAAATTTAAGTGTTATTCTCAATTATACTCTATAGTTCCATCTGGTTCCTTCTAGTATCCAACTTCAAAGTCCCATCTTATGTTTTTTTTAAAAGAATTCAAAACATTTTTTCATTAGAAGATTCTTATAATTAATTACTAATTAATTTATTTTATAATTATTTCAAATTCATCTGGACTCTTAGTCCATTTATAACCTTCCAAAATCAGCATTCTAAATACCCTTTTGTTGTTCATTCTAACAAAAAGAATTCTTTTAAAAATCTTTATTAACCTTTTATTTAAAATTACTTTAACTAAGGATTGAAGAAAACTCCTCTGGTGTTCTAAAACTTGCCATTTCAAAGATTCCAAGTGTCTAAAAAGCAGTTAAGAAGCAACTTTTAAAAGCAATTAAGAAATGAGACTCAGCAAATTGTATCCATATAGGCTACATTAGAAGCAGCTGTCTAGAATACATGTGGGCAATCTCATCTCTCCTTTTTCCAGAGAATTTTCCATGGTCAGAATTCACCATGTGGCCATGTATCTCTGCCACAGTGCTGTTTCTACTACTTCAGAGATGTGTAGTATGTATGTATGTATGTATGTATGTATGTATGTATGTATGTATGTACACTTGCAAGAAAAAGTATGTGAACCCCTTGGGATTACGTGGAGTTTTGCATGAATTGGTCATAAAATGTGCTCTGAACTTCATCTAAGTCACAACAATCGAAAAACACAGTCTGCTTAAAATAATACTACACAAACATTAGATGTTGCCATGATTTAATTGAACATAACATGTAAACATTCACAGTGCAGGGAGGAAAAAGTATGTGAGCCCCTAGCCTAATGACTTCTCCAAGAGCTAATTGGAGCCAGGAGTGAGCCAATCTTGACTCCAATCAGTGTGATGATAGTGGATGTGTTGCTGACAGCTGTCCTGCCCTTTAAAAACACACACCTGTTTTGGGTTTACTGGTTTCAAGAAGCACTGTCTGATGTGAACCATGCCTCACAGAAAAGAGCTCTCAGAAGACCTACGATCAAGAATTGTTGACTTGCATGAAGCTGGAAAGGGTTACAAAAGTATCTCCAAAAGCCTTGATGTTCATGTGTCTACGGTAAGACAGACTGTCTACAAATGGAGAAAGTTTAGCACTGTTGCTACTCTCCCTAGGCGTGGTCATCCTATAAAAATGACTGCAAGAGCACAGCGCAGAATGCTTCATGAGGTAAAGAAGAATCCTAGAGTGTCAGCTAAAGACCTACAGAAATCTCTGGCACATGTTAACATTTTTGTTGACACATCTACAATAAGGAAAACATTAAACAAGAATGGAGTACATGGGAAGACACCACGGAGGAAGCCATTGCTGTCCAAAAAAAATATTGCAGCACCTTTGAAGTTTGCAAAAGAGCACCTGGATGTTCCACAGCACTACTGGCAAAATATACTGTGGACAGATGAAACCAAAATTGAGTTGTTTGGGAAGAACACACAATAGTATGGAGAAAAAAAAGCACAGCACACCAACATCAAAACCTCATCCCAACTGTAAAACATGGCAGAGGGAGCATCATGGTTTGGGGCTGCTTTGCTGCCTCAGGGCCTGGACGGATTGTTGTCATTGATGGGAAAATGAATTCCAGAGTTTATCAAGACATTTTGCAGGAAAACGTACGACCATCTGTCCACCAAGTGAAGCTCCACAGAGGATGGGTGATGCAACAGGAAAATGACCCAAAGCATACAAGTAATTCAACAAAAAAATGGCTTCAACAGCACAGAATTCGCCTTCTGGAGTGGCCCAGTCAGAGTCCTGACCTCAACCCGATTGAAATGCTGTGGCATGACCTTAAGAGAGCGATTCACACCAGACATCCCAAGAATATTGCTACACTGAAACAGTTTTGTGAAGAGGAGTGGTCCAAAATTACTCCAGATCGTTGTGCAGGTCTGATCTGCAACTACAGGAAACGTTTGGTTGAGGTTATTGCTGTCAAAGGAGGGTCAACCAGTTATTAAGTCCAAAGGTTCACATACTTTTTCCTCCCTGCACTGTGAATCTTTACATGTTATGTTCAATTAAACCATGGCAACATCTAATGTTTGTGTAGTATTATTTTAAGCAGACTGTGTTTTTCAATTATTGTGACTTAGATGAAGTTCAGAGCACATTTTAATTTTAATTTTTAATTTTTATTTATTTTTATATGCCGCCCTTCTCCGGAGACTCAGGGCGGCTTACAATGCTTTAAGCAATTTTATGACCAGTTCATGCAAAACTCCATGTAATCCCAAGGGGTTCACATACTTTTTCTTGCAACTGTATGTATGTATTTATACAAGTAATTCAAGGCAGCAAACATATTTAATACTTTTTCCTTCTCCTAGTTTCCCCACAACCATCTGTGAGGTGGGTTGGGCTGCAAAAGAGTGGCTGGTGCAGTCACCCAACCGGCTTTCATGGCTAAATTGGACATGAACTCATGGTTTCCTGCTTTCTGGCTAGTGCCAGACCAAACTGCTTCTCCGTATGAATCCTCATTAGTCCACAGAAGTGTCAAGCCTGTTTTTGTCTTGTTTTCCAAAGTCTTAACTTTTGCCTCCATATAGCATTACAAGGAAAACATTGCCTGCATGATCCCGATCATTGTAGGTATAGATACATATTGATCTTTTCCAAGGCCTTCATTGCTACTATACTAAGGGCTAGTCTGCTGCATATTTCTTGACTGCTGATTCATTTACTGTTGATAGTCCCAAAGGCAGAAGATATCCACCACAATAGCTTTATTGTTAGTTCTGAGGCTGAGAGCTATATCTTTTGTCATTAGTTTGGTCTTCTTTTATTTAATTTTTCCCTAACCTTTTTCTGTGTTCTTTAACTTTTGTTATTGGAGTTTTCAGCAGCTTAAGTTGCAAGGCAAATTTCATTTTGAAGAATCCCCATATACATTTAAAAATTATAATAAAATAAGCAGTAGAATATAGCCAAAAAGATCTATTCAGCATCAACAGCCATACCATCCTTTGAGGGTATTAAGGAATCCTGTCCAAAATTCTGGTGAGTAAAATTAAGACCATGGAGAAAAACCATGACTACGTACAGCAATATAAGAATAGACAATCCTATATCAGAGTAGGTATACTTGTATCTGTATGAGTAACTCTAATTGAGAACATTCTCATCTTGGCCAAAGATTTTAAAAAACAGTGACAGCTCATAATGGGCATTTTAATATGCTTTATGCTATTCGAATGGGTATAGCTGATCGATGAAGCAGAAGTTCTCATGGATACAGGATACTTAAAAAGAACAACGGGAGCTAGAATATCTTGAGAAAGAGAATTGAATGCTATCTGAACTGTGACAGAGAATGGTACATTTTGCCTGCTCTTCCTTCTGACGTTATATAATGTAAATAATACCATTTGAGATCCTTTCTTCAACAGCACAAAACCTGATGTACTTGCACATTGATCCTTTTAAACTAGCCCCTTATAATTGATTTCTTGAAGCTGTTTGTATGTATTCTTCAGTTAAATACCATCAAGCTAGTGGGACTGCTAATGAACTCAATGCTATTTACAGTAAAAATAATCTTCATATTTTGAGCTGCACACATCATGACCAGCTGATATTTTCTTTCCTCAGGACCAGCTGTTCCCTAGGAGTGTC